ATGGTATACTCTAAGTCAAAAGCATGTTTGCAAAATGAATATCAAACCACAAAATATATAGGATCAGAACAGGGTTCTGTAGGTTTGATAAAAACATGTAAGTCAAAAGCATGTTTTAAACGGATTACAAAATACGAAAAACATTGTCCAAGACCCGAAACTCAAGTTTCAAAAGAAGCGGTACTGCATCATATGTCATCTAACCATCAGTTGCGACCTAAAAGGTTTCAGAAGCACCAGATCCCCATTGAACCCCATTGCGCTGTGCAAATTCATCAATCGCGCCAACATCTGCAACGTAGTCATAGTAGTTCTCAATTGTGTTTTGGAACTGAACGCCTTGTGGGTTTTTCCTCTTAGCCTAGGTGAGAGTGCCAAAAAACAAATCAGAACATCACATACTTCAACAACAAATACATCAACAACAAATATAATTGCAAAGTTACTTACAGGTAATTTTGCAGGAGGTTGTTGCGCGGTTTCACCTTTTTTCGCTCCACTCTTTTTGTATCCCATCCCCGAAAGGGATTTATGCCTATACACCTTTGGCCGTCCCTGCGGCTTTTTACGGCTAACAGGATCTTTCACTAAAACAGGAGCCACTTCAACAGGGTTCACTTCAACTCCAGTAGGTTTTGATATCGACAGAGGTGTTTGGCATGATTCAGGGCTGTTTGAACATATCTCAGATGGAGGCATCAGGGTTCTTGGGAGAGTGGGTAGGCAAGGTTGCTTTTCCAAGAACTTCGCTCTGCTTTGTTTGACATCCAAAGAAAGTGATTGTAGAGACTGAAATACAAGATCTATTGTATCCTTGTCATCAGCAGATGCTGCAACTTCACAAATTGCCTCAAACTCACCCATCAGTTTCCTATAAATCTGGACAGAATAATCTGTACTTGGATCGTGATAGGAAACGTTAACCCGGGTATGCTTCCGAGGGACATCTTTGCGCCACCTGTCGAGTACATACTTTGAAGGAATTTCAGACACCCTATTTTGATCATAAACCTGAATGATATGCCTGCAAATAATACCAAAGGTTTCGAACTTGCAGCAATCACAAGACACGTCCTTCGTAACTGTGTTGTACAGGACACAGTAGAAACGTCTTCTATCAGTTATCTCTTCTTCGCTCTTCCCTTCTGGGATGATCCAGACCCGATCTTCAAGTAGATATTGAATCACGTTCCCTTCTAGCACACGCTCCTCCCTCCCAGAGCAATGCATAAGTCTACAACACTCTATTTGAATCTCTTGGAATTTGGTGTCAGTGTAGATGTCCCGAAAGAATTTTTCTACATAAAAACCACTCACGAGCCGCCTCAAATATTTGCCACAGCGAGCATCCGCATCAGTTTCAGCTTTAACACGCCTCCCCATTGCCCTAGTGTACTTGTCAGGGTATTCGTAAAGCCTAGTCTTCCTGTTCACAAACCCATCAAAGAAACTATTTATGCTTTCGACCCTCTGTGTTGTCTTCATCCCGGCCCAAAAGTGTTCTTTCATAAAAGCTGGGACCCACATGTGCCTTTCCTCGAACAAATCAGCTAACCAATCATTATCCTCTAGTTCAAATTGCTTTATTAAGTCTGTCCAGCGACGCTCAAACTCAGCAACTGTAAAGCTCTCATATACAACAGCCTTCAGAGGGCTCTTAAAGTCATGGTAGCTGCATCAATTACAACACTTGTTAATTACTTGAGAATTTTCTAATTCTATCAGGTAACCAAACATTCAAATCAGACTTCATCAATTAGATCTGATGCAGTTCAAAACAACATATGTAGTGTAGATCATTCCACAGACACATACTTGAACTACAATACATAGCACAATTTCATTCAATGATCAGGTAACTGACATTATTGAAAATGTATCTAAAAAATGTACAAGTTTATTACGTGCAAAAGTTACAACATATCTTAAAGTGTACCCTTATGATTTTGATATCACCTCTGGGTTTCAGACTTAAAAAATGATGTTCATGTCTTAAAATTTACACCTCTGATTTTGAAGAGTTGCAGACTTAAAAAATGATGTTCATGTCTTTACTGAAAGAACCTAAAGAATTAGGTAGATTAAATCTTGACTATTTTCAGACTGAATGAATCTTGACTATTTTAAAAATGCAAATAATAGTGAAGAGAAGGGTAAAGTTTAGCTGTTATGATTTCAGTACACCACCCACCACCAGCTGTTATGATTTCAGTACACCATCAGCTATTAAGATTTCAGTACACCATCAGCTATTAAGATTTCAGTACACCATTGATCACCTTCAGTACACCAGTGATCACACCAAAGAACAATAATCAGAGGTATATGGCATAACTTACAACAAGTACACATCTATGAGTTATATTATTGCATAAGTTACAACAAAAATAACAGCAGCAAACAAAGGAACAGCAAAACAAAGGAAGCTTAATCCGGACAACTTACTGTTCACATTTTCCAAGCTTATCCGGGATTTTCTTCATTATGTGCCAAATGCACCAACGATGTCGAGCATTAGGCATCACTTGAGCTAAAGGCTTGCGCATAGCGGCAACTTGATCAGTCAAAATTGCCCCGGGTTGTTTATTGCCCATACAAGAAATCCATTGCCTAAATATCCAACCAAATGTGTCACAATCTTCATGTGACACAAGAGCGCAGCCCAACAATATAGATTGGCCGTGGTGGTTTACCCCTACAAAGTTGGAAAAAGGTAGCGCGTACGCATTAGTTAGATAAGTGGCATCAAAACAAACAACATCCCCAAAATCTTCGTAAGCCACCCTACTACGGGCGTCCACCCACAGTACATCCTTGAGTCGGCCCTCTTCATCTAAGCGGTGTGCATGATAGAAATTCTGATTATCCTCTTGCATACGATCAAAGTATGCCATCATTGCAGCCGCATCACCACATTCCATTTTCAGCCGTTTTTCCTTAGATACTTCATGCTCAAGGTCCTTAACACTAGGAAGGTTATCAACCCCGGTCTCCGTAGCCATACACCCATGAATTTGCCTTACAGAGACACCTTCTTCATAGAAATTAAAAAGTTTCTTCTTCACATTCGACGTGTAATTCTTCATTCGATATTCCTTAACCAACTTAGCATCACTCGGCTAAGGGGTATGGTTATCATGCTCATTTTTCAGTTTCCTAATAACCCACAACCCATCACTATCAACCCCGCCATATAACATGGCACCACACTCACATTTCTTGGAGGTCCTTTTCACCCGCTGCATGATATCTTCCCCTATTTCACCGTTAACAATCCCTCCCGTGCCACATAATTCCATTACCTTTGCCCTTTTCTTCGCCTCCCTCCTTGCCCTCATATCAGGTGGACCCTAACACTCACACCTCCAGGTGGCCCCTCTCCGCTCCTTATCCTTCTTCGAAAATGTTGATGCAACACGGGTAACCCCAAAACCTTTCTGCTCAGCATACTCTTTGTAGTAGCTTTCTACATCTTCAAAGGATTTGAAAACCATCCCTAACCTAGGTGACTCAACATAAGTGTACATGCAAATCTGATTTGTTGAGACAATGGTCTCCACCGTTTCAATAGTTTTAATTGGTGATAGGGCAGCTAGTCTCTCAACTGAGTTAGGAATACAGTCCAGAAAGGGGAGACCATCAGGCACACCTCCAGAAGAAATCACTTGCCCCCCTCATCACTATATGATATGCCAACAGGCTCACCCATTTCACCAGATTCAAAACCACAATCCATAACAGCACCTGCAATATATTGCTCAATTTGCAGCATACATCAGTAGTGAAGTTCCCTACAATTTGACTCCTCAACACCAGCAATATACAGACATATATAGTCAACATGAAAAGGGTAATAACACTACAGACATCTAGAGTCAACATGAAGGGAAAATACCAAATAATTCCAATAGTGACTAAGGATTCATAAACATACAAATGACTCCTCATGCCAGAAGCAATCAACAACATCAAGAAAAGAAGGGGGAATCCTATTATATTTCCCAACATGAAATGAAAATACCAAATAATTCCAACACTGAGTAAGGTTTGATAAACATACAAATGACTCCTCACATGCAGCAAAATCAATAATAACAAGCAATCAATAAAATCAAGATAAGCACTTGCAGCAACCCTCACTTACATAATTCTTGTTATTCCTATTTCTTATCAAAAACAACAAATTTTCAGCCGGCATTCCAATCAACTAAATTTTACATTACACACTTTACATTACACACCAACAGATTATCCCAATTTTACAGTACACACTTTTCTTCACCAATTGCATTAACCCATCTAACAATTCCAAAATTCAAAGGCACTTCAATGATTTGAGAAAACTACAAATTCAAATTTTCGATTATAGCGGATAAAATTCAATTAAATCAACTACATTATACATTATCAACTACAAATGCAATATCCGACCTCAACAAATGCAAAATTTAAAATGAATTGAATGATTAGCAAAAACTAGGGTTTTCAAGCTGTGGAATTTACCAATTACGATGTCTCTTCAGAACACCAACAACGCAATATCAAGTTGGGTTGAGAACTCCAACCATCAAATTCGTAAATCGCTCCCTCACGCGCTGAGAAAAAAGGAGAATAGCTCGAAATAGGAAAAATGGAGAAGAGCTCGAAGTTTCGAAGTGGAAGATTGTTGATGCTCTTCTCCAGATGACTCGATAACGGGATCTTTTAATTCCCAAGTTAAACGCTAAATGGGATTGAAATTCAGCGTTCACTTTCAACTAACGTTGACTGTTTTCTGCCATATCAGCTACAAAGACAGAAAACATTAAAATATTGCGAGTTGTTCAAAAAATAACGAAAGTGCCATCATATAAACATATAACGTTAATATGTCATATTAACTGGGGGAAGCTCCAGAAAAAAGTCTTACATGTAAGTTATGATCGCGCAATCTTGATACAGTACTGTGACAGTTTCATCATTCTGTTTACTCAATTCTTGCATATAAATTTGGTGTTCAGGAAAACTATGGCAAACAAGATCCTGCTTGTGTGGCACAAGTTAAGGAACTCTACAATGAGCTCAATCTTCAGGTTAGTTATTTGATTTCTTGTTTGTTTTTTCTTCTCTGCGTTCCTGTCATTTCCTGAGTTTTGTAACATCCTATATATAGGGTGCATATGTCGAGTATGAGATGCAGAACTACGTACGGTTGATCACATCCATTGATGCATATCCTAGCGCGGCAGTGCAAGCAATTCTGAAGTCATTCTTGGCCGAAGTATACAGCAAGAGGGCATAACTAAAACTCATTCTCTATTTTCACACTTTCTAAATACTACTTCTGTAACTAGGGCTTTAAATTTTCTACTTGGTTGTTGTATACTCAATTATGCATATCTTTTAGGTAATGAAATTTGAATGTAACCAACATAAGATGATATATGACTTAATCTCTGGTATATTACAGGGGTACATAACTGCATATATGGTGGAGAAAATAATTATTGATGTAATTATGGGTTCATGTTGTAACAGAACCACTAATAAAGCATACAAGTGATCTAAATTGCATATATTTTATTTATGTGAAAAGATACAAGGACAAATATTAACTACAAGTATAAGATTTTGTTGTTGAAATTAACATAACTAAACAAAATGAAAGCCTATTTAATATGACCAATTTCAAAATTGTCATAGGCTCCGCACAATTGATCTTTGAAATAAATAATCTCTAGTCATTTTGAGTTATTATGATGAAAATAAGTTAATAATATTGTTTACATTTAACAATGTTGAAGAGAATGAACATAGCCCTTAATAATGACCATGAATTAATTGATTGTGGTTCTTTGATTGATGCGAAACATATACGAAGTATAATTTTCCAAAGGTGAATGCATGGTCCATTCTCTAAAAAAGAATGGAAGTGAATGTTCATATTAAAGATTTTTCACGAGCATTAATGATTTAAAAGTGACTCAAGTTGAAAACTCACGTGAGAATTGATAAAAACTCAGTATTTTGCTTGTAACCTAGCTTTTATCAAACAATTCAAGCTCGACTATAATAGAGTCTGCTCAACCAAATGTAGGATAAAGAATCAACCCAATCCAAATTACTCATTAAGTTGGATACATTAGGGCCATTAAAATCATGTAATAACTAAAAGGTTTAACTTTGTCACTTATCGAATGATTTTTTTATTTTTTTTAATTTCACATAAATCAATAGTAAACAAACTTCTCTTGATTGCATCATGCACTCATAATTAATAAAGAGTACTTATAAAGTTATAAACTATACAGTACATCGAGATTAATGTGGTCATATTACTGTATTGTCATTGTGAAAATATGGTCTAAATTAACATATTCATATAAATAGTGTAAAAGATAAAGTATTGGAAGTGTTAAGTACTGTATATGAAAATGGAAAAATAAAAATACGTAGTATATAAATACGGTACTCTATTTTCTCAAATAAAAGCGCTCTTTAAAATTGATTTTCGCATCCAAATATTTCATTCCAGAAGTTCGTCTTCTTCCGCTGTTCTTCTATTCCCACAAATCAAATTCAAGCGACTAGGAATTTCATTATTTTTCCCAGGTATTAAATTAATTCCTTGAAAAATTTTCAATTCTTCAATTCCGTTTCTCTTGGAATCATAATTTGGTAATCTAATCTCAATTCTAGGGTTTATTTCGCTGATTTTATATTAATCATACATCTTTTGCAAATGATTTCCATATATTTTGCTGAATTTGTATGAAATTTTCCCTCTATTTTGCTGTAGGGGTAGTGATTTTGGTTGAAATCTAGGGTTTTGGGGAGTGTTGATTAAAGGTATAGAACTTTATGTCTTTTTTGGGGGGGTCTTGTTTTGGGTGAATTTTCGAGTCTGCAAATCAAATTACTGGTTTTTCGAGTGGAGATTGATTATGTTAAGCTGTGAGAAAATTAGCTGATTTCTTGGTGACGTTGGAAAATTGTGTCATCTTCGTTTTGGTAAATTTGGGTGTTTTTGCAGCTTTTGATTTGTAGGTGAGTATTACAAAGAATGACGACTGCTGCTAGACCTACATGGGCACCTGCCAAGGGTGGCAACGAGCAAGGCGGTACGAGGATTTTTGGCCCGTCTCAAAAGTATTCTTCCAGGGATCTTGCAGCTCATACAAATTTGAAGCCCAGGTATAGATTTACTTTTTTAGCTTTACCTTGTTTGATATAGGCAGGCAGTTAGCAAGGGATAAATACACCCTCTTCCGGCTTTAATTGTCACATTTATAATGTAAGCTATACCATTAGTGTGACCAGTAATTATTGGATGATGGGAGTTTATGAATTACATATATGCTTAATGTGATAGTTTTCTGTTGCTTGATGCTTAAGTATACATGTAGTCGAGCTATGGACTAAGCTGATTAAACGATGGTTTTGTGTTCTTATTGCTGTGTGATTGTGTATGCTTAATGCCATTAATAAATTCTAAGGGTGAATTAGGTGTCCGTGATTGTTGTTTGCTTTATGATCCAGTATTCTTGTGTGGCATGTGGACAGAGTTATGGCCTTAGTATCTGTGAATAGCAGGATCTCCAGATGTTTCATGATATTGTTGATTGACATATTCATTTTAGTTTAAGACAATAATAGTTTGTTTGGAGACGATAATGCTACCTCCTTGTAGCTTGCCCATGTGATGTGTTGCAGTTACTTTTAAAATTTGTGCTTGCAATGATCTACTTTGCACTGCCCCCCTAACCACGGTTTCTGGTTTTAATACAGGAAGGATGGACAGGACTCCCAGGATGAACTTCAGAAGAGGGACCTTCGTGAAGAACTTGAAGAGCGTGAACGAAGGCATTTTTCATCTAAAGACAAATCTTTTGGTGGTAAGAAAGTTTGAGAATAATAGACGTTAGAATCAGTTTGGTTCTTAACCATTGTTTATACAACTTCTGCTCAAGGAGTGTCTTATTGCTTGATTGAATTACTTTCATTTGTCCACTTTCTTGATTTTGTTACGTGTGGTATGCAGAGGATAGAGATCGTAGAAAAGGAAGCCATCTTCTTCTGGAAGGTAGGTGCTGCCTATGTTGGTTTGTTTTGAATTTATAGTTTTCCATTTTATTAATTAATTGATATTAGGATTAATGGGAAAAAATAATTGTGTGCCTGCAGGTTCAAAGAGGGATATTGAAGATCGTATCATTCCTAGAAGTGTAGATGCTGATGACTCTGATGTGGATGTAAAAAGTGACGATGAAAGGTTAGGCAAACTTCCTGTTCAGTTGTTTCTGCTTTTGCCTTCAACTTGCTTTTCATTTATGATGTTACGCAAACTAGTCTGTCTGCTTGTATGTTATTACTTCTTTCGTCTTGCTCATATATAGCCTATGTTAAATGAGAGTGAAAAGGATATATAATTTTATTACTTAGTATAAGCTTCAATTGGTGCTTTATGATTTTCAGTGTGAACACACATACCATGTGCTCTACATCATATTTTAGTTCCATTTGCATCTCTTTTGATGAGAGTATAGATTGTAGCACAAAATACTGTGAGTCTGCAAAGAAAAGAAATTTTATATCATTGTGTTTAAGTTAAACACTTAAATGTATCTGGTTTAGATTTTTTGCGCAGATAAGCGGGTACCTTTTTTTTTGAAAGAAAGGTAGCTCGGACTTGTATTAAATCAATTCAAGCTCCGCTAAAGTCGAAAGACTTTTGAGGGAAGGAACTGATACAAACTAGCACATCACAATTATTAGTACCCCACCTAGGAATGATACTTGCAAATAAATGAAATTAAATTACCACCTAGGAATGATACGTGCAAATAAATGAAATTAAAATTTGCGAAAAACAACTTTTTAAATTCAACATTTTGTGAGAAACTACCTTTTAAATTATTTTTTGTTAGAAACTACCAATTCTGAATTTTTTTTTTTTTTGGTGAAAGATTACCACTCAATATTTTCCGGCATTGACTTCACGTACAAGTCACGTGATTCATTAAATCACTATTTTCTCCCTAATTCTATTCATGAATTCCCTCCCTTTAGTCACTCTTCATCAGCTCCAATTCCCCCAATTTTATTTTCCCCCACCCCCACTCGCTGCCTCTCTCCTCTTACTCCACTAAGAAACTCTTCGTATGCGAGGATACCTCAAGGCCCAAGCACACAACAATTGAGCTTTTCAAGAATTTGACACTACAAATTATAGCAATTGAGTAAGTATTTTCCAATTGTTCAATCATTTTCCCCAAACCGATTCAATTCAATTAGATCGGGGTTTTTCCCTCAAATTCTGAAATTGTACAGATTTTTACCAAATATTCAATTAGTCACGTGTGCAAGTCAACGCCGGAATAGATAGTCATTGGCCGGAAAACATTGAGTGGTAGTCTTTCACCAAAAAGAAAATCATAATTGATAGTTTCTAATAAAAAATAATTTAAAAGGTAGTTTCTCGCAAAATGTTAAAATTAAAAGGTTGTTTCTCGCAAATTTTCCTTAAATATTCCATTCTGTTTAAGATAAAGGTACCTGGTATTGATTTTTTTCCCCTGTTTCTTTTCTTTTTCCTGGGTTTTGAATTCCTCTCTGCCTCTGATATGTGTAATGTGGTGAGAATGCTAAAAAATTTTGTTCAAAAGTGCTGAACTTGAATGAAAGGGTTGCTTCAGCTCTTGATCAAGACTGAAAGTACTTGGCAACATAAATGCTTGTGGATTTTGATTAGAAATTGTTTCTGCAGAAGTTCAAATATATGTGCAGAGCTATTGGACAGATTTTCTTACAATAACATTATGATTGATCAGTTTTTTTTTCCTGTTCGTGCATGAGAAATCTGTTTTGATATGTTGGTTTGATACGTGCTAATTTCCTCTGTTTTTAGTGACGATGATGAGGATGATGATGATGAAGATGAAACTGAAGCGCTTTTAGCGGAGCTTGAACAAATAAAGAAGGAAAGGGCTGAAGAAAAAATGCGAAAGGTGTGATTGTTAAACCTTGAACTAGTTTTTCACACATTGTTATTGTAAATTGATTCTTGAACCTTTGTTTTTCATTTAATGTATCCTTTTATCTGTATATTCTCCCCTTTTTTTGGGTGGGGGGACAATATGCTTGTAGGGGTGTGTTCTTCGCCACTGGTAATGATTAATAAATGTAATGCAACTTTTGACTGAATTGAAATTGATGATACATCTTTGCAGGATCGACAACAACAAGAGGAAGAATTGAAAAACAAAGAAGCAGAACTTATGAGAGGAAACCCTCTAATTAATGTTAATGCTCCGACTAACTTCAATGTTAAAAGAAGGTTAGCTTTGAAAATTCTAGCCAAGTACAAATGATGTGACTACTAGACTGTTACTGTTTTCTGATCTCCTAAGTTATCCTGTATATGTGGTGCAGGTGGGATGATGATGTTGTGTTCAAGAATCAAGCACGTGGTGAGACGAAAGCAACTAAACGCTTCATTAATGATACCATCAGGAGTGATTTCCACAGGAAATTTTTACACAAGTACATGAAGTAAATTGCATTAGCCATTAGATGAAACTACTTTCCTGTATCCATTACAATTTCTTGAAACAGAATGTCGTTATTACCCTGATAGTGCAGTTATGTGATTTGTGAAGCAATGTTTGTGTCCAAATGGCTCGAGCTAGGGGGTTTTTTCTTTTTTTGTTTGGACGGGACAAACTAAGGTTTATTTACTTGTTTGAATGAAAACTTGGTCTCCAGCTATTGTCTTTGGGAATACTGTTTCAATACGAACTCCATATTGTTATTGTACTCACAATCGAGTGGAACTTTTTTAATTGTTTGTGCAATTAGATTTAATCAATGAAAGAAAGAATTGACTAGTAGATGAAGATGAACCCTTATTACTCCGTTCTAAATATAGTTGTTTATTTTTTGGCAGTTTGAATATACAGAGTAATTGTTACTGTATTATCATTTTGACTCGAGTAGAGTTAAAAGTCTTAGTACAACCAATTTAAAAAATGTTTGGGCACCATACAAACTTCAAACGTGGAAGCTTCCATCAAGGATATGTACCACAATATCGTAAGCCCTTTAGTCCCCTAGCATAGAAGCAAATTGGATGTTGCCACCAACCCAAATAGACTCACGGAGGGTATTAGGGACCATGGATCTCGGCAATTTTTATTTCCGGGCGAAAAAAAAAGTCAAAAAATTCTAAAATTGAAGGCTATCCACGCTTTTTGAGGAATTTTTGATATTGCAGGGCTTGGTGGCGAAAAGTCTTGAGATCCTAAAGGATACATCTTAAGGTCATATCAAGCCGTTTGGAACCATATATGACCATTATATGTTGTCAAAAATGTCCATGGTAGGCTTAACTACACGAAATCGGTGCAAATACGAAAACGGGAAAAGTGGTCGTTTTAAGGCAAATTAGATGGTTCCACCCACCAAATTGGACTCCCGGATAATATTAGAGACCATTGTTAACATCTCGGCAATTCTTATTTCCAGACGAAAAAAGGTAAAAAATTCCAAAATTGAACGCTATTAAACACTTTTTTGAGGAATTTTTGATGTTACGGGTCTCGGTGGCGAAAAGTATTGAGATCCTAGGGGATACATCTTGGGGTCATATTTTGACGTTTGGAACCATATATGACCATTTTATGTTGTCAAAAATAACCGTGTTAGGCTTGAGTTCACGAAATCGGTGCAAATACAAAAATGGGTAAATTGACCGTTTTAAGGCAACTTGGATGTTTCCACCCACACAATTGGACTCCCGGAATGTATTAGGGAACATGGTTAACATCTCGGCAATTTTTATTTCTGGGCGAAAAAAAGTCAAAAAATCTAAAATTGAAGGCTATTATCCACGTTTTTTGAGGAAGTTTTGATGTTACTGGTCTTAGTGGCGAAAAGTCTTGAGATCCTAGGGAATACATCTTTGGGTCATATAATAACGTTTGGAACCATATATGACCATTATATGTTGCCAAAAAAGTCTGTGGTAAGCTTGAGTTCACGAAATCGGTGCAAGTACGAAAACGGGTAAATTGACCGTTTGAAGACAAATTGCATGGTTCCAACCACCCAATTGGACTCCCAGAGGCCTGGAGGGTGGTAGGGACCATGGTTAACATCTCGACAATTTTTATTTCCGAACGAAAAAAGGTCAAAAAATTCCAAAATTGAAGGCGTTATTATCCACGCTTTTTGAGGAATTTTTTATATTACGGGCTCGGTGGGTAAAAGTCTTGAGATCCTTGGGAATACATCTTAGGGTCATATAATGACGTTTGGAACCATATTTGACCATTATATGTTGTCAAAATGTCCGTGGTAAGCTTGAGTTCACGAAATCGGTGCAAATACGAAAACGGGTAAATTGACCGTTTTAAGGCAAATTGGATGGTTCCACCCATCCAATTGGATTCTCGGAGGGTGGTAGGGACCATGGTTAACATCTCAGCAATTTTTATTTCTAGCCGAAAAAAGGTCAAAAAAAACTCCAAAATTGAAGGCTATTATCCACGCTTTTAGGGAATTTTTGATCTTACGGGGCTAAGTGGTGAAAATTCTTAAGATAATAGGGGATACATATTAGGGTCATAATGACGTTAAAAACCATATATGACCATTTTATGTTGTCAAAAATGTTCGTGGTAGGCTTGAGTTCACGAAATCGATTCAAGTACGAAAACGGGTAAATTGACCGTTTTAAGGCAAATTGGATGGTTCCACCCACCCAATTGGACTTCCGAAGGGTATTAGGGAACATGGTTAACATCTCGACAATTTTTATTTTCGTGAGAAAAAGGTCAAAAAATTCCAAAGTTGAATGCTATTATCTACGCTTTTTGACAAATTTTTGATGTTACGAGACCTGGTAGCGAAAAGTCTTAGAGATCCTAGGGGATAAATCTTAGAGTCTTATAATGACGTTTGGATCCATATATGACCATTATATATTGTCAAAAACGTCCGTGGTAGGCTTGAGTTCACAAAATCGGTGCAAGTACAAAAACGGTTAAATTGGCCGTTTTAAGGCAACTTGGATGGTTCCACCCACCCAATTGGAATCCCAGAGGGTATTAGGGACCATGGTTAACGTCTCGACAATTTTTATTTTTGGGCGAAAAAGGTCAAAAAAATTCCAAAATTGAAGACTATTATCCACGCTTTTGAGGAATTTTGATGTTACGGGGCTCGGTGGCGAAAAGTCTTAAGATTATAGGGGATACATCTTAGGGTCATATAATGACGTTTAAAACCATATATGACCATTTTATGTTGTCAAAAATGTCCGTGGTAGGCTTGAGTTCACGAAATCGGTGCAAGTACGAAAACGGGTAAATTGACCGTTTTAAGGCAAATTGGATGGTTTTACCCACCCAATTGGACTCCCGGGGGGTATTAGGGACCATGGTTAACATCTCGGCAAGTAAGAAAATTCCAAAACTAAAGGCTATTATTATCCACGCTTTTTGAGAAAGTTTTGATGTTACGGGGCTCGGTGGCGAAAAGTCTTTAGATCCTAGGGGATACATCTTAGGGTCATATAATGACGTTTGGAACCGTATATGACCATTATATGTTGTCAAAAATATCCGTGGTAAAATGGTTTTAGTACGAAAACGGGTAAATTGACCGTTTTAAGGCAAATTGGATGGTTTCATCCACCCGCCCAATTGGACTCCAGAAAGGTATTAGGGACCATAGTTAAAATCTCGGCAATTTTCATTTTTCGGATGAAAAAAGGTCAAAATATTCCACAATTGATGGCTAATTGTTTGTGGAACTTTTCTAATTGTTTGTGCAAGTAGATTTAATCAATGAAAGAAAGAATTGACTAGTAGATGAAGATGATCCCTTATTACTCCGTTCTATATATAATTGTGTTCTTTTTTTTTTTTTTTTTTTTTTTTTTTGGCAGTTTGATTTATAATTGTTACTGCATTTGCATTTTGACTCGAGTAGAGTTAAGTCGTTGTAAAACCAGTTTAAAAAATGTTTGGGCACCATACAAACTTCAAACATGAAAGCTTCAATCAAGGATGTACCACAATATCATACGCCCTTTAGTCCCCTAGCATAGAAGCAAGTTACAGATAATTAAAATAAGTAAACACAATTTATCAACATTGGAAAACTTGTAAAACAAATAATACATTTGTATTCTTATGATTTCTTTACAACATAAGTTTGGAAGGACCTCGATTCGAATGGCTTTAGCCTTTAAGTACAACAAAAATGGGAGACCTGAATACCACTCAAACTGTCAAAAATTGAAAACAGACTATGAAATGAATAATACAAATTTACAAATGCACTGCCTTAAAATTACAACAACAATGATCGACACAGCTTTCAATCAAGTTGCCAAATAAATTATCCTCCCAAAAATGAATCATATTTTCTGAGCAATGTGTTCCTGGAAATCATGTACTAGACAGACTGGTATGAGTAGATCAGCCATTGTTCATAACTGAGGGCGGTACTCAGATGGAATCTGAATTTGAATTTACTCACTACTCTTCTCCTTTGTTTCCATTGTTTCGTTCAGCACAAACTCAGCATACAAGTCTTTAAGGGCGATAACAACGGTTGTTATTAAAGGTCCCATTATTGCTCCCTGCATCACAGAAGAAACATTGATTCAGTATGAGAGAAATACCAACCCTAACCTGCTAGCCACATAGGACTTGAAAGCAAGATTTAAGCACCAAAACCTAAATGGAAAGATAAGCCATCACAATGGCACATTCACGAAAATTAAATCCACATAAAGCCAATGAATCAGCAATGAGCAGATCAGTATTTCAAACTATTGCTGCAACTTTAATACGAACTAGAATTGTAATTTATGTCTCCGACTCGTTTGATAACATTATCTTCACATCTGTTACCTCATAAGTAAATGGGTGATTTTCTACGACACAAAAACCTCCAGGGTTCAAAATCATAAAATCACTTAAAACTAATGATCATAAACTCAAAACACACTATGCAATTTATGAAAAACTAGATTCCCCTACAGAAAATGCAACAGTTTGAGTTGATTATGACAGTTGACATGCATATAGCTGATAAGCTAGTTGGTAAATCAGTAACAAGATATGAAGATGCATTAGAAGAATTCCACCCCGAATTTAGTTTTACCTCAACAGCAGACGGGAACAATGCCACTCCACCGATAATGCTAAGCCCGGTAAGGTATGGACTATGACCAGGTATATCCTCCAGGATCTCAGAAGCCCCATAATCCAAGAGCACATTATGAATTACTGATAAACAAATTGCCAGTATGTATTTACCCTCTAATGCAAACTGTACAGCAGCAGGGACAGTTGCTACAAATGGCGGGAAAAGGGGCAACAAAGGACTAATGAATGCAAGTAATGTGGACATATACAAGAAATGAATGGAGAACAGCCTAAACAGAAGCCAAGTTAAACAACCCTGAACAAAAGCAATCTCAGCAGTTGCAAGCATAACCCCGGAAATTGCCTTATCAATAACTTCAACACACCGAGTTCTAGTTGCATTCGAGACAGGAAGCAATTGCATCACTTGCTCAGTAACACCTCCAGAATCCGATGTAATAAGGTAATACAAAACCCAAAAGAATACCATTGACTGCGATATAAAGTTAATAAAACCTGCAGCTCCAGAGACGATTGATCCAACAATAGTAAACATAAACTTAGCACCTCCACCAAGAACAGACTTACTACTTGAAAACACACGCTGTCCAACATCGAGTCCTTGCACAGCAAAACCCTTCACCTTCTCAACTAAATCAACCCGACTAGCAATTAGCTCCCTAGCAATAGCATCAATATCAGTATAAATATCCCACCACTCTCGATCCTTA